TTGTGACTTACCATTGAATGCTTCTTACTCCTGATATATATTTATCTTTTCCAGCTCTTAGTCCAGACAACGATGGTAAGCCTCCTGAAAAATACGTCGGAACTGTGCGACCGCCCCCTTACAGCTGGCCAGATAGACTGACTGTAGCGTCCGACCTCGCGAAGGGTTCGATGTCCGAGGGTCCGCCTGCGTCTATTTGGGCAGTCTGGGGTGGAACGTCGGGAACTGCAATACTCTGCCCAGTTTGTGCATCATTATGATCACACTTCCGGTCTGGCATCATCAATAACAGTCTTCAAGCACACGACAAGTCACGTAGAATGCCAAGGTTTATTGGGACGCAAAAAGAGGAAACGTAGATGGGGGATAGACAAGAAGTATCAGAAAGTCCAAACCAAGTAGTCTTCACTATTGTCCGGGGAAGGTGGAGTTGGATGCTGCCACTGGGGAGGGGGAATCACCGTCCTCACGCACTTCAACTGAAAGGGACAGAAGAGGACGAACAGATAGCGTTCAGACGCTAGGCACCCTAAATCTCAAAACTCGCGCCCTTATCTATTCAAACAATCGTTTCTGTCCGCCTGCTACAACTGCCCCCCCTCTAGGCAGTGCCCCGTCCGCGGGGCCTGGTGGGGGGTGTGGGTCAGGGGGAATTTCCACTTCGTTGTTAGGCAAGGGGACTAAATGGGGGGGAACGATGGGTAGGGTATCATGGGACGCAACGGGCAGACTGCCGTGGTACGGTTTCAACTTATCAAAGTGTACGGTGAAAGCGGGGCCGGCGTGGGTGAGGGCGTCGCGAATAATGTAAGTGGTGGGCGAAATGACGTCAGCGACCACGAACGGCCCTTCCCAAGGGTGGAAGAATTTGGCTGGAGTGCCCACAGGCGGAACCGCCCGATAGCGGAGCACTAGGTCGCCGATGTGGTAGGGCAGCCCATGTGCCTGTCGGTCGAAATAATTCTTTTGCCTGTCGTAGGCGTTGCGGAGCTGTGTGCGTGCCAAGTTGTGCGTGAGTCTGAGCAGTTCCTGTAGCCCTATCACATAGTCGTCGGTCGTATAGGCCGCCGGTTGCTGTGTGGGGACGTTCGAGTCTGTTGGTAGCCGGAATTGGCGGCCAGTCAACATGTGGAATGGGGCATGGCCCGTGGAAGAATGAACGGCAGCTCTATAGGCCATCATGGCGAAGGGTAGCTTCACGTCCCAATCGTGTGGGTGGTGTTCCTCCGCGAACGCCTTCAGGATGTTGATGATGGTGCGGTTTGTGCGCTCCACCTGGCCGTTGCCCTCTGGGTGGGCTGGTGTAGTGCGAGTCTTGTGGATGAGGAGAAGGTCACAGACCTCGCGTAGAAGGTGGCTTTCGAAGTTAGCTCCGCAATCGGAGTGAAGTGAAAAGGGTGCGCCGTATCGACAGACCCACTCCTTGAGTAGCGCGTTGGTGACCGAGGCCGCGTCTTGTCGCTGCAAGGGGATGGCTTCAGCCCACTTTGTAAAATAATCCACCAACACTAAGATATACCGATGGCCGGATGTTGTGTAAGGCAACGGGCCGACTATGTCTACGCCTACTCGCTCGAATGGAAAGCCTGTAATCATAGGCTGTAGGGGTGCACGATGTCGTGGGATGGTGCCCTTGAAAGAGGCACAGGTGGCGCACGCGTTACAGAAATTGGCGACCTGCTCTCTGAGGCGGGGCCACCAGAAACGCTGTCTAGCGGCCGCTTCCGTTTTGGTCACTCCGTCATGTCCCAACTCGTGGTGCAAGTCTGTGAGGACTGGTATGACGAGGCTACCCGGGACGACTAGCCGCGGATGGGTGGATGCGGCGTCTTTAAAGAAAAGCAGTTCATTCTCTACGAACAGGTTGGCCCATTGGTGGCACAAGAGGCGGGCGATCTCTGAGGAGCCGCGGAGTTCGGCCTCTGTTGGTCTGTGTCGACCATGCAGCTGGTGGTCATAAACGATTGCCGAGTCCGGGTCGGTACTTTGTGCAACTGCCCAATGGTAACGAGTGGGTTCGCTGATTGTAACCGCCGCTATATGTTCGGCTGGTCCTTCTGGGTCTGCGGTGCCGGCCTCACTTGGGCGGCGAGAAAGGGCGTCTGCATTGGCGTGTTGGTGACCTGGTCGATACTGACACGTGAAATCGAACTCCTGTAGTAATTCTTGCCATCTCGCGAGCTGGCCCTCAGCTTCTTTCATATTTTGTAACCACTGCAAGGCCTTATGGTCGGTGCGGACAATGAAATGTTTGCCCACTAAGAATGGCTTGAATTGTTTGATGAACGTAATCAGCGCTAACAACTCTCGTCGGTAGGTGCAGTAGTTTCGCTCGGGTTTCGACAGGGTTTTGCTCGCAAAGCAAATCGGTCGTTCGGTCCCTGTCTCGTCGGCTTGTGAGAGTACGCCCCCGATCGCGAACCCGCTGGCGTCGCTGTCGAGAATGAAGGGCGGGGCCTCCGGACTCGTGTCAGGCAGCATTAATATCGGTGCCGATGTGAGTTTTGCTTTTAACTCATCGAAGGCCTGTTGGCAATCGTCGGTCCACGAGAATGGCCGACCCTTTTCGGTCAGCCGATGGAGTGGGCGTGCGAGCTCCGCAAAGTGCAGGATGAAGCGGCGATAGTAGGAGGCTAGGCCGATAAAGCCTCTGACTTCTGTTGGGGTCTTCGGCGTAGGCCATGATCTGACTGCCTCTACTTTTTCCTGTGACGCCTGTATGCCATGCGGGCTGACTTCGTGACCAAGAAAGGTAACTTTCTGGCACAGAAACTTGCACTTCTGTGGGTTTAAACGCAAGCCGGCATCTCGGAGAGCAGAGAGTACCGCGGCGAGGTTAGTGTTATGTTGCCGGGCCGTGCGTCCAAACACGATCACGTCGTCGAGGTATATCAAACAGCTGTGAGGGTATAAGTGGGCCAGCACGGACTGCATCAGTCGCTGAAAAGTTGCGGCGGCGTTGCATAGCCCGAACGGCATGGTTTCGAATTCAAAGAGCCCTTGTGGTAATATGAACGCTGTTTTGGGGCGGTCGCTAGGTTCCACTTCCACTTGCCAGTAACCGGACTTAAGGTCCAACGTTGAGAACCATTGGGCTCCGGCCAGCGCTTCAAGTGTGACATCAATTCTTGGCAGTGGAAAAGAATCGCGGGTGGTGACCGCATTAAGTCGCCGATAGTCTATACAAAATCGGAGTCTGCCGTCTTTTTTTGGCACTAATGTCACTGGCGATGCCCATGGCGATCTGGAGGGGCGAATTATCCCTGTGGTCAGCATCGTTTGAATTAGGTCGTTCACCTCCTTCTGAAAGTGTGGTGGGATACGGCGTGGTGGTTGCCACAGCGGCTTCGACGTTCCTGTGTCAATGGTGTGACGGATGACAGCTGTGCGACCTAAGGAGGTATCGTCCCATGCGAAAACATCGCTAAACGCAGTCAGGAGTGACCTTAATTCTTCCTTGTCTGTGAGGGTGACTGTATCGTCTGGGGGTAGGACCGTGTCTACGCTTGTGGGTGGTAAGGCAACTGATGGTGCGATGGCCGCGCAGGTGGCTTCCTCGTCGAACTCGGTGCCTGGCGGGTTGTTAGACGCTGACCTATGTCCTAAGGAAAGTATGCGATCTTTGACCATGATACAGCAATTATGTGCAGAGAGGAAATCTAGCCCGAGTATCATGTCCCACGACATCTTGTGAGTGACGACGAAAGTTTGTTCCTTAACGCTGGCCGGGAATGAGATGGGCAGTCGAACCGACCCTAACGTGGTCATGGGTGACCCGTCTGCGGTTTTGAGGTGAGGTGAGTGGCCGCTTTGTCTGGCGAGGTTAAGCCACTTAGCGTCTAATACCTCTTCCCGAACTAACGATGTGGTGGCCCCTGTGTCGACTAGTGCCTTGACGGGTTTGTTGTCTAGGTAGACTGTCGTGTAAAACGGCAAATTATGTGACGTATAATCAAAGCAGACGGGAATTATATGGTTACCTTCCTTAGTAATCGCCGCCGCTGTACTGTCTCGATTCCCCCGGAATTGTCTTGGCTCGGTGTTGGTCGGTGGGGGTCGATGGGGCGTGCGGAACATAGGGGGTCGGCTGCCGCGGTTGAAGCGTTGTGACGGCGGGTAGTGTGGTCTGGTCCAGGTGCTGCTCTGCTGCCTGCGGTCTGGGTTGTGTTTCCACGGTTCAGTCCGGGCGTGATTAGCCTCTGATGGGGAGTCGGTTGTCAGCATGCGGGATGCTCGCTGAATTGCTTCATTGAGGTCGCCCGGTGGCTGGATCCTCAGGGAATACGTCACTTCTGGAGACCCGAGACCGCGTTTGAAGTGGAAAAGGACCACTTGGTCTCTATCGGCCGCAGAGAGAGAGGGATAGGCATCGCGTGTCAGCTGCAGTAAGGCGTCGGCGAACTGCCGAGGAGTCTCATCGCTCCTTAAGGAGCGTTTCAGCAACTGGTCGATAGCCTCCTCTATGGTCAAGGGAGGTTGGAACAGCCTCTGCAACTGGTCGCACAGCACTTGGAAGGGGGTGTGGCGAGTGAGGCCGGCGTCGAGTGCTTTGTCCAGTTGGTCGTCGGCAAGGTGTTGAAGGACCGTACGGCTACGTTCGTTTTGTGGCACGTCGTCCAGGTGGAACTTAAGTCGGCGCAGCCAGCACGAAAAGTCCTTACTCCCATCGTAGGGTTTGAAAGAAGAGGGAATAGGATTCGTTGTACTGGTTCTTGGCTGCGGGTTCGGATCCCACCGCTGCCACCATTGTAGCGTCCGACCTCGCGAAGGGTTCGATGTCCGAGGGTCCGCCTGCGTCTATTTGGGCAGTCTGGGGTGGAACGTCGGGAACTGCAATACTCTGCCCAGTTTGTGCATCATTATGATCACACTTCCGATCTGGCATCATCAATAACAGTCTTCAAGCACACGACAAGTCACGTAGAATGCCAAGGTTTATTGGGACGCAAAAAGAGGAAACGTAGATGGGGGATAGACAAGAAGTATCAGAAAGTCCAAACCAAGTAGTCTTCACTATTGTCCGGGGAAGGTGGAGTTGGATGCTGCCACCGGGGAGGGGGAATCACCGTCCTCACGCACTTCAACTGAAAGGGACAGAAGAGGACGAACAGATAGCGTTCAGACGCTAGGCACCCTAAATCTCAAAACTCGCGCCCTTATCTATTCAAACAATCGTTTCTGTCCGCCTGCTACATGACAACCAACAACTAGAGCAAACCGAAATTTACCCAACAGGAAAATAATTTCAAGGTCAGGCCGATATCAAAGTTCTTCAATTGCCATGAAGGACATATTATTCATGCCCCCGAAAACTACCAAACTGCAAACTTCAATTTTTATATTGTACATATCGTTATTTTTTGAAACTTTTGTTATTATTTTCCCTTAGAACTGAGGTTTTTTTTAACTTAAAACAAACTCTCAATTCGCGCTCTTTTGGCTAACCAGACACCCGAAGCAAATGAAGTCAAAGTGCAGTTGAAATTGACGAGTTTGTTTTAGGTTTTTTTCCTGAGTTCAAAGGGGACTGACAGTGCCCAAGGGGCGCTACAATAAACCTATTCTATATTGATACATTCAGCGTAAAGGCAGCACCGCATACATTCGCACTAATCGTTTTCCCCATGCAAGTGTCAGCCGAAGTCTGCGCACCTAAACTTAATTCGGCTGCGGCCAGTCAATGGAAGTAGAAATATGGATTAGTGATATGACGTTGATGACCAAGGGCTTGGGTTACATCCATTTAGCCGGTGATGGTCATTCCTGCCATTTGGCCTGAAAGCGACATACATGTAGGTAATCGTCAACACTGACGACGGTGAGCGCAACAGTTACGCCCAGTCAATCCTAATCCTACCTAAATCTCAGAAAATTGTCCCAAATATGGCCGCATTTGACCATTTGCTTCGTTATAATTGCCGTTGTTTACATGACCACAGCCCAACTTATACATATCTGTCTCGGGATTCTAAACATTCAATGATAACTGAGAAAAACGGTGTCTTATGCATCTCTTGGATTGTATGAGCCTTTTGCAGTTGCCCCAAATAGAGGCTGCCGTTTGTCCTTATCCTATACTTTGAACGCTTTCGACAACGTCCTGGACGCCCTTGATCTTTGAGCGCCATTTCGAAAATATCTTTTGAGGCCGGATTTGGCTGCAGGTTCATGTGGGGTTGCTGCACCTGGAAGGGCTTTTATTCTATCTCATTTTGGACTGCTTCCCCTAGCTAAATAAATTTTAGTCTAACTTACCGCTTACACGTCTTTCTTTGTACTTGATTAACATTTAACCATATTTATATCGATCCCCTTTTGACCGACGGAATCCTCGCCAAAAATTTTTGATTAGTAACTGGATCCTGAAGTTTTAAGGTCTGGGCCATTAAGTGACATGTCGCGGAACTTTTTTCCATCAGTACTCTTATATATAGTAGTGGGCATGGCCGTCCAACTGGACCATTTGGTTCTGTAAATTCATCTTTTTCCTAAGAAAAGCCAGAGTTTAAGGATGTAACCTTGGTGCATGACAGAATGCCTGTCATGTGACAACCCGATTGTTATCACCGACGATCTCACCGTGTACTTCACAGCAAGGTGGGAGCAGGCACGGTGAATTAACTCACCCACTATGGACAAATTCACATGCAATTGCATGTGAATTAGTCCATAGTGGGTGTATATTAATATACAGCATTCACTGCCCTCTTCGTCCGCTCTGTCTGGACTCGGTGTCAATAAATAGTCTAGAAGACTGAGAACAAGGAAGGGCGCAAGTGGCTGGAACGGCAGGACCCGCCCTGCCAACACATATGTGTTGCCATATGGCACCACCTTGTATGTGTGGCCATGTGCAGGTGGACGTGGCCATGGCCGCGCCTTTTTTCCAGAAATTTCTAAAGGAATCTCAGCTGCTTAAACGAGATTTTTTGCGAGTGAAATATTTCTGGTGGCTGGCGAGTTTGGCTTTGGTGAAATAATTCCTTCACCAAAACCAGACTCGCTTGTCACGGTTTTGATTTTCGCGCAGACATTCAACTTAAATGCTACCGACTTCAGGGGGAGTGTGAACAGGCTGGAACAGACTATTGCGTGGGATATATATTACAGCTCAGAATTTAATAAGACGTTACCGAATTTTATGCAAAAATTTCCCGATGTTGATGAGCTAACGCACCTGTGATTTAGCAGTCTTTTGTACGAAAAAAGGTAAAGTCAAGGCTTCAATGAAAGCAAAGATCGAGAAAATTAGACAAACGTGCCGCTGGAATCCGTTGAATCGGTAAGAATAACAACACACTTCTGTGCTTGTGCTTCCCTCAAGAACCGAAGTCAATCTTTCTCTTTGAAGAACACCTTTGGATGTTAGAGACCAGACGCAGTAAATAGGAGAAACTGTGTGGACACCTCTAGCACCATATCGTCAATGTCAACAAGATTAACGTGTTCGAGACAAAGATGCTGATTCACCTCATAAGAAACTTCAATATCTTCGCCATCGATTTTAAATACACGACGGGGACAATAATGCACATTAAGACGCACAAAGCTTATCATTTCCTGGTAGAAGGCTTCATCAAGTTCCCGTAGCAGTAGGCGACCGTCGATAACGGCGACACGTCCATAACTCTGACTTTAAAAAACAATTCAAATTAATTCAAGTAATGCAATACTGTGAGTTTTACGCGCGGCAAAATTTTCTGTATCCTGAAACCTTTCAAAATTCTGACAAATCTTAAGGTCGGCATATAGTACCGAACTTAAATGGGAAGGGTCTGTTTCTTTACAGGGTGTTATCCTTAACGAAACCAGCCATTTCGTGTAGCCCGGTCTTCAAAATACAGAAATCGACGTATAATATCAAAAAACGCAATGTATTTGGTTTAGTGTGAATTAAGCCCTTACGTGTTTTTCTTGCAAGTCAATAGTAAACATTGTGAGTCCTAACATGCCAACGCTTTATCTAACTATGTGTCGCAGATAATTCATTGTTTCAGAATAGTTGGAAATTTCCAGACTGGCCTCTCTCATTATGAAAATCTTTGTATTTAGTGAAGTAACTCAGATGTTTCAGTGATTCAAACGTTACCTATTGTGAACAGACAGAATGCTTCTGCCAAGGCAACGAGTTCCTGACTCAACTTTTTAGTCGCTATGTGACTGTCTTTGAGGACTTCAGATTGAGCCTTAAGTCGCGCTGGGGCGTGTGTCCCCTGTAACCCGATCTATGAATGTTCTTCCACCACAGAACGATGTTCGCATGTGAGACTTTAGTGATCTCATAAAATCACATGTCTAAAAAGATTTTACTGACGTGTTCTGAGATGTGTGATACAGAAACTGTGAAATGTTGCACACAAAGAGGTTAACACAAGTCTACTCTAATGTAGAGTATAAAATTGCATTAAGCTTGAAAACGACTTTAGTAATGCTAAATTTATTGCTGAAGTATCCAGCTATATTTTCTAGCGTTAGTTATGTTTCTGTCATCTGCTGTTCAGAACACACCCTTTTATTAATTTACTTCTTTCACCTGTAGCCTACTCAACCGGTCGAAAAACTCTTCTCTGTGTGAAGTGTAAAAAGAAGGCCTCCTTGTAAACTTGTCAAATATGCAAACATATTTGCAAACAAAATGTATACAAACTCCGCGTCACGAAACAACGTCGGTTATTTCTTAACTGTATTGCGTTTGACACGTGCTTACTATTTTGTATCAACCTTATATTAGCACTTAGTTGTTGCGCGTGTTTACCTTCTGATGAACATGATTGTAAGGAACTGTATTTACTGGCAGATGGCTTCCGGTAACAATCCTGATAAAGTTAAAGACGCAAGCCTCTGTTGTTCACAATTTTGTTGACAACATTTCTGACAGTTTTTAGGTTTGTATTTAACAATCATTTTTGTAATATGACTAAAGACGGTTAGGGAAGCCAAAAGGCTTTTCCTTATTTTTAATGCATTCGTCGGCATTCTAGTTCTCTGCCTGATTCCATGCCGATCAGGCGTGCTCGATGCGTCCTCCAACTGCAGAAATGATCATTATTTTCTTTTATCCGACGCTCATGATAAATCTATTGGGGTACAAAGCAGACCTTGCAGGAAAAAATCAGCAAAAAAGCACGAATGAAGCTTGTTATAATTTGAGGTGACATAATAATATAATATACGTTATAGTATTTAAGATATAATATGTATAATGAGAATAAGAGGCGATCTCGAGAGCCCCAGTCATACGAATGATATATAACACAATATGAGACAACTAGGACGTGATGCAACGGTAGGGTATCCCGTGAAAACCTGAGAAGCTAGGGGTTCGATTCAGTTCGGACGCTAACATTTTCCTACTTTGAGAACCCCTCCTATTTTCTAAAGTTTGGATGAGAAAATAATTGTTTCTTTTGCACTAACATTGTCGACTCACGCCTTTTACTTAAAGCTGGCTTCTGATAATTTAATGTCTTCTTACACCTTTGACGCAATTGATATGTTTGTCTTTGACGTTTTACGAAAACGTCGCCTCATTTTTTGAAAACAGGTGATTTGAAAATTATGCAGTAGATCAGCCATTATAACACAGTACATTCGTAAGTCCAACTGTGAACACTTTCACTATGCAATATTTTCCGGACAACTGACATCTTGGTTTTTTAAATTTTCCAATTTTATTTATTTCCCGAATTGTTACCGCTCAGGTTGGATTATGCCGATCGAAGTGTTTGCATTTTTATGCATCCCCGCAAAAACAGGATATCCAATTGAACTAGACCTTCTTTTGGAAGAGTTTATCAACATTCACTATGGACCGGAAGCTGCGGCCACATGCAAACCTGATATAACGGTTCTTCATACGTTGCGTAATGATATCCTTTCGCACTT